TAGTAATCCATTAAAATAGTAACAAACATTGAGTAACTTAGGCAAAATCCAAGCATTATATGTTTTGTCATAAGAAAACAGTCCCAGTCAGAACATTATATAATCCTAAATTCTATGATGATTTCCAGTACACTCTGATAGACTTTTTGAAATCTGTATTTATTAAAAACACAACTAGAAATGCTCAAAAATAAAACAAAAAATGTTGCTAAACAGGGCTTTGCATAAAGTAAATATTTTTAACACACATCTCATTTAAGACTGTGCCTAATGCTTATAAATAAATTTCATAGTTAACATGCTAAAGAAAAATCCAAGAAATTGCCTAAAGGAAAAAGATTCATTGGACATATTTGTGACTCTGCTGAGTTCAGCTGGAGCCATACTCTTGATGTGGGTAGGGCAAGAGCTTACCAAATGTACATGGAAGTTGTTTGGTGGTTTGGGGTTTTGTCGGGGGTTTTTTTACATTATTATTATAAAGCAGTCTAAAATGCTTTGGCTTTGCATTTGAAATTCAAAATGCAATTTTTATCAACTTTGAAGTGTTTATAAAGGGATGAAAATAGGTAAATAAAAATGAAAATGTTTCACTTTAAGCTATAATAAAGATTCCATGGATCCAGGAGGACATTTAACCTAGATTCAACACCCACCTCTGCTGTAGTCTTGTGAAAGTTCTCCAAGTTCTGTAGCAGCTTCTGTTAACATTTTTGATGAAAGAATTAATTTGACCAAGAGAAATATCCTTAATATATTTGCTCACTTTCAACTTATCTTAGACTGTACTGTCTCGTATTCTCAGTTTTCAGCATGCTGTGGATTGTCATCTTTGGTTTCTGAACCAAACAATCAATTTTAAGTTGACTTACATTTCTGTGAACTATATTCAGCTATATATATCACAGAATTTTAACCCCTATTTTAACTCTTCTGTGAACATTTTGGATGTCACAAAGATTCATCAGCATGATTTAACATTATGATGAGTCAAATTGGTCTGATCCTCTACTAAACACAACTTTGTATTTGTCAGTTTGACTGCTGCAACCAAAAGCAGGGGACTGGTTTCATGTAGACTAGATACCGATGTTGCAGCAGCAGTTGAAGGTATCTTCAACCACCCAGAGAGAGAGTGAAATAGTACTAGATGATGTACTTGCATTTGTTATCAGGATACCTGCTACACCTGCTGAACTGAAATGGAAGGAACTGGAAGTAAAGAAAGGTAAATCAAATAATACAAAATAGACCTTTTGAATCCTATGTATGTTCTTTCCAATTTTACCACTGGAAAGGGCTAATATATACTTCATGAGGGACTGAAGAGATGCATAGAAGAAAAAGATATGGATACATGAATGTATGGTAATATGGAAATAAGAGCAGCAAAGCTCCAGAAGGGGAAAAAAAGTAGCAGCTATTCCTAGTGCCACAATCCTTGATTTTTTTCATGAGCACCATGAGTACAAACATAAACACAGCCTGGCTGTTTCCTCTGGCATCTGAAGAGCCTCCAACAAGGAACATTTACATTGACTTCGTTAATTCTCCATTCACACTTTAAGGAAAGAAAAATCTATAATACACATGAGGAAGGCTTAAGAAATGCTGACTTGAATTTTTCAAATGCACTTTTTTCCTCCTATTCCCCTAACAGTTACTAGCAGGAACAGTAAATGCCCTCTTTCCTGCACTGATGAAAAACTTTTCAGATATTTGATACATAGACTTGAAGCTTTTTAAGTATTCCCACGATAGGTCAGGCTGACACAAAGACACTTTTCCCATTTTGTTAGATAATTGCTAAATTTAAACAAATGCTAAAATAATATAAACAAACAGAGCCTCGAATTTAAAACTCTTGAGTTTAAAAGTCACTTTGTCCCTCCTCACAGGGCAAACCGTTTGAAATCAGTTCCGTGAGTGGGGCTGCAGAGAACTGTGCTGAGACCAGCTTGCAATTGTCCACTACAACATCAACAAGAACATAGTAACTCCTCTCCAAACCCTGAATAACCACAGAACCACCTCCCGTAACAACAAATAAAGACAACATAGCACGAGTGTAGCCTCTCAGTTAAAAACATAAATCAATCTGTGACCAACAAATTCCTTCTGTAAATAATTATCTATTGCTTAAATGAAATAAATTAGAAGACAGTACAAAAGCACAGTCCTGTGCCTTTTCCTTTCTGCCTATTCTGTAATCCATTAGAACAACCCTGTGCCCTTTCTGCCTAATCTATAATCCATTGGAGGTGGGTTGATGCAATCATTTTATGAAGCACTTAGAGAGCAGAAACCATAGTGCAAAGCACAAAGTCTTTCTGGGAATGTAAGACTGTCTTCCTCTGAAAAAAATGCGGTAAGAGTTCAGAGCACCATAGTGACCACCTTTTTTGCTTCCCACACACACAATCTGCAATCGCTAAATGGCTTGGAAGCGGTTGTAATATGAGCAGAATGCAGCCTTTTCTTCTTCAGCTCTGCAAATGGGTTGTAGGCCAAAGGAAAGCCTTTTAAAGGCTTGAAAAAAAGCCAGCACTGGAACTGTGGTTCTGAAGGGGAAGGCTTAAAACAGAAGGAAGTTATTAACAGTGACAGTGTAGCAACATGCTTACTCAGCAACAAAAAACCCTCAGCCCTTCTCAGCAGGTGTAATTTGTTTTGGTTTGCCTGTGGCACGTCATGTATGCCTGACACTGTAAATATTTCCATGAGTAATCAACACAGGATAATGATCAAAGACCAGATAAACCTTATCAGCCTTTGTCTGATATCTTTTGCGCATTCAATTTCTCTAGATTTTCAAATCATTAAGCTGCTGGTTTGTATGCCTCAGAAAGGTTTCTCTAACCATCAGCAGCCATGCCTTCTGCTTTTCAGTTGAATGTGTATATGTGTGTTTATAAACCTAGCCACATGGACACACTTCTTTCTCAGCCATTTGGGATTTTTCTTTCCTTCAGTTTTTGGGTAGCTCAAGGATTCTTCAGCTTCATGGGGACGGGACTTGAATGCAGGACAACAATCTGCTGCAAGCAACAACCAGTTTCCTTTATCAGAAGTAGCAGGTTCTGCTGCATTCTGAAGTCTAGTCCTCATTTCAGCCATGTTAGCATCTCTGAAGATTCCTAAGTTCATATTATTGAGGAAGCCTCCATGTTCTCAGAATTAAGCTATCTACTCCAGCTGCTCACACTGGAGTGTTCCTTCATGATAAATCCTTTTATCTGGGGTGTACAACACACATTCCCACCAAGTCAGGACCAAGACTTGGGTATGGCTGCTCTCTGTAAGCAGAAGCAGAGGAAGCGCAGTGCTGATGACAGTGGGTTTTCCAACCACCCAGTTCTTTTTCTGCAACAACTGCTGGGAAAAGGAACAACCCCTAGATCCTTCCTGGCCTCTGCTTACCCATTCCCACACTGTTTTCAGTGGCTGCAGTTACTGTGCCACCATGTCCTGGGAAACTCTGGGCAGCTGACTGCATAGGAAGAACAGCCATTTTTACATTTCTTCAGAACTTTGCAATACACTCTTATTAGTTTACCTTTCTTAATACACTATTAGTTAATTACTTTGCATACTTTTATCACTCTGATTCTTTAATGAAAAATTCTTAAAACTGTGCAAACTGCTTTAACTTGAGAAGAAAAAGATGGTGACAAGCAGAGGATTTTTTTTGTCAGCCTGAATGGTAAAATCTGCTTGATGTTTCCAAATTCCATATTCAACGTAGCAATACGATCAGAAACAACCATCTGATTGCAAAGTCTGTAGATGTTACAATGGGGTTTCATGATAGTTCTTAAAGCAGGAACTGGAATCCACCCTTGCTGCACCAGAGCAGAGTGTTTGATCACACAGCATGAACATGGAGCACTTTACAGGATGGAAAACCAAAGTCTCTTTCAGTATTACTCTAAGTTAAACTGGCCCAATATCCAACAGCTTGCCACCACTATTTCATGGTGAACAAATTGGGCCCAGATGCAGAATCTCTCTGGTAATACCTGTCCGAGTAAGGAGAAGCAATTGAAATAGGCAACATTTCATTTTATGCTCTTACATTCTGGTGGTTATGGTCCCCAATTCAATTAGGTTTTAAAATCTGGATATAGCAAGAAAACAGGTATGAAGTGAAGAGTCTCACCAAGCTAAGTCTGTCTTCTCACAACAGGTCATGGAGCTGAGGCACAAAATAAAGAATGTACTTCTGTGTCCTGTGGTGTACATACCCATCTGAAATAGCAGATGCTCAGCTCCAGGATCTTTGTGTTATCAGCTGCACTCCCAGGACTTTGCCAAGGAAAACACACAGATACTATGCATCTTTTTCTGAAGCTGGAGGGGGAAGCATCTTACTTAGCAAACACATGAGGGCCACCATGCAACAATCCACACAGCCAAAAAGGGAGCATGTAGAATTTCTCATGGGAGTTAGAGAATACATCTGCTCCAATCTGATCCTCACTAACATCTTGCAACAGCAGCGAGAGTGGAAAAGCAGTTCAGCTCACTTAGAATATTTAGACAGATACTGCTGATTAACCAGTGCTGTTCTGGAAGCCCTGGTGTCCCCTCTTCCTCCTGCACACCGGACTTGTATCCTGTACAAGTAACATTGGAAAGAGGACACACTGCTTGTCCAGGAGCGACTCGGTTTCCCCACACCGCATCACCTGCCCTTCACGGTCCCTCTCCTACCTGAGCCCACACGCCCTGCCTGAGGGACAGCGCAGGGGTGAGGGGACACAGAAAGCGCTCCAGGAAAGCACCTGCCGCGCCGCGGAGGCCCCGGGCCTGCCGTCCGGCCGTCTAGGGTGCCTCAGGCCGCGCACCTCCCCTTTGCTCAAGCTTTTCTCCCCTGCGTAGCCAGGCCCAGCCCGGCCCGGTTCGGCTCGGCACCCGCTGCAGAGGCCGTTCCGCCAGCAGCTTGCCGCTCCGCGCCGCGCCTGGCCCCGGCCTCAGTCCCCCTCCCCCGACGAGGCCTACGGGGGGGCGGCGCTGCAGCGCGGAGCAGTCCGCGGCAGGGGGAGCCGAACGGCAGCGCCTCCTACACCTCCTTCTTCCCTCTCTCCGTGCCGCGGTGGGCTCGGCTGCGGCAGCCGGGCTGCGCTGCGCTGCTCTGCTCGGCCCTGCCGAGCGATGGACTGGCAGGTGCTGACCAGGGAGCTGTCCCTCTACCTGGAGAGCCAGGTCCGAGTGGGACTCTTCGGCTCCGGCGTAGGCTTGTCCCTGGTGCTGGGCTTCGGCGTCGCCTACGCCTGCTACTACCTCAGCAGCATAGCCAAGGTGAGCGGGAGGGCGGCGGGGCGGGCTCCGCAGGTGTCCCGCCAAGGGGGAACCGTCCCGCGAAGGTCACCGCGACCCACCCGCGCAGGGTAGAAATGGCCGGGCGGGGGCAGGGCGCTCGTCCTCGCACTCGCAGCCGTTCCTGCGGAGGTGCCGCGCCGGATCCTGGCCGGCCGAAACCCCGGTCGCCCCCCGCGCAGGCCGGTGTCCGCCGCGGGGCCGGGCTCGCAGCCCCCACCGCTGAGGCTTTTCCTCCAGGGCCGGGCAGCCTGAGGGAGCTCTCGCCTGGTCGCGCCCAGCCCGGGAGGGGAAGGGGGCTCCTGCCGCGGGCGTCCCCGAAGTGCATCTGTACCAGAGGGAGAGCTTGGCTGGGGGCGACCGTTTGGAAAAGAAGGTCAGGAGCCCCCCGTCCACAACGAACCCCTGACCTCTTTGGTTTACTGACAAGGCAGGTGATAAAGTAGTTCGTTGTCCTTGTGTCTGCCTTCAGTACCACTGTAAATACCTTTGTAACCACTAACGCAGTGTTTTGGGGGCTAGGACACTCCTGTACATCTTCTCCTCAGCAGTGGTTTCACAGAGGAATTAGGCATTAGCGAATTACTTGGATACAGTGAACCCGACCTGATCTAAAGTGGCCCTGTGGTGAGAATGCCTCGTTGGCAATGCTTAATTGGCTGAAAATACATGTAACAGAAGATTTGTGATTGTTGAAGGCATGTGTGTTGCCACGGTCCTTCACAGAGCCACTGAGAACATAGCTTTCCTCTTCATCAGAAGAGTACTTAATCTTGGTCAGAGGAGGAAGATGAAGGGAGGATGTGCCACTGCTGCTGTGTATGTGTAACCATATTCTCCAAAGCATCTATTGTCCTATTAATGCTTGCATGTTGGAGAGTCAGCATAAAAGTAAAGTTCAAGGAATGCAGTTGTTTAAACGTGAGCGTTTTGGTATACAGGGATTTACACGTTAAGTGGTCTACGAATGGAAGCTGCAAGAAAAATCTCGGTATGCGGGGTGTTATTAGAGTAACCAAGGCAGTTCTGTACTGTAGTGTGAGATGGGAGGAGAGTCCTACCAGGTTAAAATAGGTACTGCACAAAGTCCGCCAATTAAGCATCAGTTCTGTGCAGTGCGAGAAAATGAATTCAGTAAACTTTTGGGGGTTTGTTTTGTTTTTTTTTTGCCTACTGTGAGTATGGTTTTGATTTCTCAGTGAAAGACACAATGCTGGTAAAAGTAGAGCTAGAATAGCATGTTATTAGAAATAGGTAAAGAATCCATTATGTTTAGTGGGTTTCGCTTTTCAGGTGGGCATTTTGGGATTCTGTTTGGTTTTCGTTTCTCTATCTCTTCAGCATGAAAGGAGAGGCTTTAAATAAGGTTTTCTTTCTTTATTTATTTGTTAGGGGGTTTTATATGAATACCCATACCTGACTGTAGTCTCTCTTCCTAGAAACCCCAGCTGGTGGCCACCAACGACAGCTTCTGCCGCTTTCTCGAGGAGTATTGCCCTGTTGTGACAGAAACTTACTATCCCACGATTTGGTGCTGGGAAGGTCGGATGCAAACACTCCTGCGTCCCTTTATCACCTCTAGACCCCAAGTACAGTACAGGAAGTAAGTGCCTTTATTCTGGAAAGTGATTGATTTGGTAGCCAGCAGTTACCTTGCTCTGACTGTGTCCCATGTACCACCACTGCTCAGGTTCATGCATGGGTTTTTACTTTATGCCTGCTTTTACAACTCCATCATAGACTTGGAACCATGTCTAACCTGAATTCAATATATAGTAGGTTTAAAAGGTCAAGGTCCCCAAGTGGCCCTAGTTTAGTTTCAGACAAGCATTGAAATATTGGTGACGATATAGGAACTGATATGGTTGTATGTTCACAGAATCACACAATAGTTGAGGTTGGAAGGGACCTTTGGAGGTCACCTTGTCCACCCTCCCTGCTCAAGCAGGGCCACCTAGAGCCAGTTGTCCCAGACCATGTCCAGACAGCTTTTGAATATCCCTAGAAATGGCAGCTCCACATCATCCCTGGGCAACCTGTGCCAGTGCTGGGTTACCCTCACAGTGAAAAAGTGTTTCTTGATGTTCAGAGGGAGCCTTCTGTGTTTCAGGTTTTGCTCATTGTACACGAAGTTCCTGTCAACCCATTTCTCCAGCCTTTTGAGGTCTTTCTAGATGGCAGCACAGGCTAGGTGGCAGCACAGGTGTATCAAATAATACGGTGTTTGAACGCCATCACTTTGCAAAGATCATGCAATCACTGTATCTTGTCCCTTGAACCAACATGTTATACCTTAACCATAGCATGGCCACTTCAGCCTTGTTTTGAATATATAAAACTTCTGGGATTTTCAGAGCAACTTTTACCTCTGGGTTTCATGTTGTATTCTTTGATGCCTAAATTTTAAGACAGAAGAAACTTACATTTAGTGTTTGTCCTCAGCTGATCTCTCTCACACATAAATGAGACTTAGTCTGGCAAATGAGGCATTTGGCACAAGACCTAAGAAGTACTTTTATGCGCCGGAACCTGGATACAGCACAAGTTGTTTCAGCTCTGTTTGCATGGTAGAATAGATTTAGCATTTAAGAGCTTCCCTTAGTTTTAGTAACTAGGAAACATTTCAATGGTACGGCCGTGTCCACTTTTTCTAGCCCTTCTTGTATACTCTCTGTTTCAAGGTTTGTGAGGGAAGAAACATAGTTCCATGGGGCAATGCTTATTTTGCACCATTGGAGATTGTGTTGGCAGTACACACCAGCATTGCATCTATTTCCCATTACTGAAAAAGGGCAAAGCTGAGCTAATGAGTCCAACAAGGCTGAGGAGCTTTAAAATCTGGAGTAGGTGCTTTCAATACTTTCAAATGAAAAATCAAATGTAAGGTAGTCTTACATTTTGGTAGTTCCTACACAAACTCTCTCGTACAATGTCTTCAGTGCCAGGTATGTGCTGTATGTTTCTAAAAAAAAGAATGAAACCTTCTTGTCATTGTTTAATGCATGCCTAGCATCTTGTGATATTATAATGTTTGTTACATTCTCAAGATACATGCTTTAAGAGTGCATTCTAGCAAAGTTTGTGAAGATACAGGGTGAAAGATACAGTAGTGCGTCTGTTTGTGTTCCACGTTTTAAACATAACAAGGTGCCATCCTTTGGATAAAGAGAAAAAAAATGTGATAAATATTTAACACATTGTCCTGTGTGCTATGAAAAGATTCTTAAATGATGCAAAGGAAATCTGCAGTATGCAAACCTATATAAAATAGAAGGTAGTGCCAAAAATCACATTAGTTACAAGCTTCCAGTGCATCAGCAGCAGTTCACGAGAGGCCAGGTCTTCATTTACTGTAAATGGGAATTATGCCACAAATTGACAGTACTAACTCATGTCAGCTGTAGGTGTGGCTCTTTCTGAATGGTAAACATGCAAACAAACAGTTAGGTGGCACTTTGAGTATTAAAACATAACTAAAATGCAGAATTCATACCTGGTAATTTGTACACTGTAAGCAGTATGCATGTATTTTTCAGTCTAATCAGTGTTGTCTTTGAATTGTGCCTTTCAGTGAGCTCATTAAAACAGCAGATGGAGGACAGATTTCATTGGATTGGTTTGATAATAATGACAGTTTATATTATCCGGATGCCAGCACAAGACCCACTGTCCTGTTATTGCCTGGCCTGACAGGAACGAGCAAGGAATCCTACATTCTTCACATGATCCATCAAAGCAAAATGCTGGGATATAGGTACTGTTGTATTTCATTGACAGTATTTTGCTTCTTCTAATAAGGTCAAATATAAGTATGTATATGTGTAAGATGCTTTTCCTAAGGCAAATGAAGTCTAAAGGCATTAGTTTATGTAAGAAAGTCTTATTAGTAATAATAATAATAGAATTATGTAACAGCAGTACATTCAGAAGGGCTGTTATAGTATCTACAGATTTGCCTCAGAGATTGCAGGGAGAGCAAGCTAAGTCTACATAGGCCTTTGCTGCTGCTTTTTGAATTATAATGTCAGTGTTTATGTTACTTTTACACTTACTAGAGAAGGGGCTTTTATTCATCTCCAAGAAGACTTGTGTAGATAGGTTGCTGGCAGCAGGCCTTGGAGGAGGTTGGCTTCTGAATGCGAAAATTGCTTGAATTGCAGTCTCAAATTCATGGCTGCAAAAGGGAGAGCTAGCCTACACTTACTGGTGGTGGTGAAGGGAGAGGTTCATTACCTCTTAGATGTCACTGCTTAATTTAGTTCTGTTATTAAGGCTTCTGGTCAGAGCTGGGTAAAATAGGTGGATTAGTTGATGAGTAAATTCCTTTATGTAATCATATTGCTGCTGCTGTGCTTCAAAGTAAGTTGTCATTTTTCCAGGATATGGATTTGGAATATTACATTTTGTCTTTGCAGACTGACTTCTGGTACTGACTATAATAAGTTCTTCAAATATGTATATGAGCTTTTATCTGCATGTCTGACTACCTCTTTTCTGTTTGGAGGTTTGGATAACTGCTTTACTAAATTATGAAAGTAAAGTAGCAGTTCAAAGTACTTTTAAAACCACTTTAAAACTTAGCAGTAAAAGATACCAGAGGAGAAAAGCCCTCAAATCAACAAATTCTTACTATTAATTTTTTAAGTATTCCTGAAAGAAATATCTGCATTTGATCACCTAAGAAAAGAAGGTATAGCATTAAAAAGGAGAGCTTTAGGTCAGATTTCAACAGAATGCTATAATCTTGTTTTTAAACAGCAACATTTGAGAAAAATACCAAAATAAGTAATTTGTCGTGCCTTTAACCCATCTGAAAGTATATATTATATTATTTTATAAAATTTTTATAGGTGGAAATGGTAGAAGAGCAATCAAAACGTAAGATCTATTAAGAAAACATAGATACTTAAATCACAGTAATGCTGCTAGAAAATTTGAAGACTCCCACCAGCATAAAGAGAACAGAAACTTCCCCAAGACACTTCACATGCAACTGTTATTATAATTTTGTTTGAACGCATTTTGTGCTATTTAAGGCAGTTACATAGCTTTGGAGGACATCTACATGGGGATCTCTGATGTTCTCTTTCAGAGCACTGCTTCAGGGTCAGCCCTGCACTGGCAGAGCTTATGGCTCATTTTTGGCCAGCTCAGAGTGCAGGCAGAGCAAGATGCAGCTACCACGTTCAGGTAAAAGCTTGGGGCTCTCATCCTGCAGTCTGACCTTGACTGGCAAATCACAGAGCTCATATGGAATCCCACTGACTTCAGTAAACTCCATTTTGGCACAAAGGTTGTTCTAAACGGATCAGGATGGGTTTAGGATCTGTAGGACTATAAATATTTATTCATGGAACTGGCTCATTTTTCTTTATGTATTTTCAGGGGGTTTTGTGTGTTTATCTTTTTTTTAGTGGGATGAACAATGTGTATAATTGAATTTACTGTCTCAATTTTTAGATGCGTGGTTTTTAACAATCGGGGAATTGCTGGTGAGGAGCTATTGGTAAGGATGACTTCTAAGATAAACATCTCTCACAAGCATTATATATGGAATCATAGGTGTCTATTTGTACAACTGGATTTAAATGAAACTCATGTTGAAAATGTAGGGAAGAGAATCTAGTCTGATACACCAATCATGTGCCAATATTAATCTTTTATTCTAAAACTCAAAGAGGTCAACTGGTCAACACACAATTTTTATGAATGTGTCATTTTAAGAAATAATTTAAATTATTAATATATGTAATATTAAAATGAACAATCCTTACACTTTTTTTTTTCCAAAAATACTACAGTATCTAAAATGGATACATCCAAGAAATTCTATTCAATCAGTGTAATTTTCTCCCATTATTTTAACATATAGATCCAAACATGAGAAATTGTAATTACTTTCCCAATTGCCAATACGAGTTTAAAATATTTGTTTATATGTTTAAAAAGTTGTGCCATTAAAATTGATCCATATTATGTGTTACTGAATTAATGAACCAGATTTATATGGATAGCCGTATCCTGAAAGTTAAATATGTATGTTCCTGTATTTTTTCCTCAGCAGTTTTGCCAAATTTGGCTACATTTTTTTGTCTTCGGGATAGACATACCATGTTTGCTTGGAAATTTAACTAGCAAAATGTCAAAGTCTTGAAGCTAAACTAAGTATTTTCTGCAGCTAGGCACTTATTGCTGAATAAGCTTTGTTTCTTGAGATGCGTTCTACTGACAGCTCTGCAGCTGGAATAAGTGTGCATAATACTGGGTATTGTTTTGTATTTTCTTAATACCCTGCTCTCAACTTTAAAAAAGCTCGGATTATTTTCCCATAATCAGATAAAGCATTTCAATGCATATATTGCCATGTTAAGAGGAGTTTTCAGCATACTTTTAGAGGTGGATCTACAAAGCAGTTTTGTGACACACAGAGTCCTTATTGATGAATTTCTGAACTGCTGAGAGAAAAGATCTCTTGTTTGGATTCCTTGTGTGTATTTTACTGTAATCGGATTTACATCTTTAAGCTTTATAAGATCTTACTGCAAAGCAAACCAGCTGAAACTACCACATTTTGGGGGGGGGGGGGAATTCTACAATTCAACATAAGATCCCTAGTTAAAGATTTTGAATCATAATTGAGCACCACAGTAGAAGTTACTCATGCCAGTAGTTCTCTTTCTAGACTCTTTAAAAATAGGTTCAAATTTACACCAAATGATAGCTATTTCAAGAATCAATTTTAAAATGCTGTTCTCATTGGTTATTGAAAGTGACTGTGAAATATTTTTATGGAATACTCAAATATTAGATTGACAACAGCCAACGAGAGCTAAGATGGTGTTGTAAAATATCTTCACACAGTGAGTAGACAGGAATTAACTTAAAATGAAGTTAAAATGCAGGATATCTCTCTAGTTTTAGAAACTTAACAAAATACACTTTCATTTGGAATACATTAGACCCTAGTTACCAAAAATAATCTCTTTTTCCTTGTAAACTTGGCAATTTAATTAAAATAAACCACATTCACACTGGTTTTAATTAATTGGGTGTAAAACAGTGAAGTTTAATTCATGTGGATGAGACCTGGAAATGCAACATAAATAGAAATTAAACCATCTTCAGTTTTAATTATCCAGATTTAGTGTTTCTTTCTTTTTTTTTTTAATCTTTGACTTCAACATTTCAATATTCCTGTTAAGTGTATTTTAAGTAATTAGTTTCATCTAATGAGATTGGTTAAAATTGCCCCCAAATACCCAGGCTTTTTAGCTGAAAGTAATTAAAAAAAAAAACTCTTTATAAGACATTGTTGCTTCAGGCAACAAATAAATTCAATTAACTCATAATTAAGTATTTTTCTGTTTAATGTTCATACATAGCTGCTTCCTATAGTTAAGTGAAAGTCATTAACATGTTAGTAAAAACTCTGTAATTAAAAGCTCTCTTTTGTTGTAGATGAAAACTAGAAAATTAGGAAAAAAAACCCTCACTTTACTGTGATTCTTATGGTTCCTAAAAGGATTTATCTCCCTTATACTACTCCAGATAGTCCCCCAGATTGTGGCCGGTAGCAGGTATCTGTGGAGGTGAGACTCAAAAGCTGTGCTTATCCTGTAAAAGCAGGGAAGGGGTTACCCAAATCTCAGTGATGCAGTGGAAATCATTCCAAATCTTGATTCAGGATTTGAAGAGACTGATAGTAGATAGAGATAAGTGTTTCATTGCTTTAGTTAATAGAATGATTTAGTAAATCAGGTAAACAGCACTGGTGAATTTATTTATCTATTTATTTGCTTGTATTGTGTGTAGAATGTAAATTTTGGTTACTTTTCAAATGCTGGCAGTACTTGAAATCTAGCATTTTCTCTTGCATTTGAATGTGGGTGAAGATGGTAAATTGTTGTTATAACTTCCTCTTCTGTAAATTGATATGTTTCCATTTCCCCAGAGTATCTTAAAAATACTGGTGCCTACCTAGTTCTGCTGTAGTTCTGCCTAGTTTAGCTCATTGCTCTGTCTGCAGATTTTGTCTAATGACCTGGAGGTTGCAGACACTGAAGATATTTGTCACTTGTTTTATTTTGTAATGATGGCAAGTACAACTCCCCTCCATTTCCTCATTAAGTGCTTTGGGTTTATATTTGCTGTTTAGCACAGCTTCACGATAAATGCTAAATTTATCTTGTTATAAAAATGATCCACTGCTCAGATTGCTTTGTCCTTAAAGGATAATACAAAATCTTATGATGGCATTTTTTCCCTCTGACTCCTTACAGACACCAAGGACCTACTGTGCCTCTAACACAGAGGATTTGGAGGCTGTTATTCATCATGTACACAGCTTGCACCCCTCAGCTCCATTCATAGCAGCAGGTGTTTCAATGGGAGGGTAAGGTATTATGTTACACGAGCCTTAGCTTAATTATGATTGCAAAATAAGTCTGTTGTAGCCTGACTGTAAATTGCTACTCTGCAATACTTGCATCACTCACTGAACTGCAGCTAACTCAGGTCTCCCTGCAGCAGTTCATGTTCAGAAGATCTGTAGAAACTTTGTATCTTTAAGGCTTTCAGCTCACTGTCAGCGAAGGTTGAATTTGGCCAAAAGTTGAAGGGGGGTGGCAGAAAACTCAGACTGACTTCCAAACAGGTGGGCAATACAATCTTTGGGAACTATGGAGGCTGTCTGTGGAACAGAGGGATTAAAAAAAAGGAACTAGAGCTATCATACCATGTTTCTTAGCAACCTCTGGGAATGACAAGATTTATCCTCACTCTGGGTTCTGCAGTGTGTGGGTAAGTTAGGCTGGGAGAGGTGTGGTTATCTGTTCTGTCTGGCTCTGAAGCAAGAAGTAGTATTGTCGTTGAAACCAGTATGGGTTGATAACAGCATGTGGTATTTAAGACTTACTGTGTCTTGGCTTCTCTCCAGAAAGGACTCCTGGAACAGGCAATGATAGCGCAGTTTCTTAGAGAAATCACTGCTAGAAGAAATATTAAGACAGCCTCTTTGATGAAAATCATAGGAGAGGAGAGCTTCCCTTAGAAATACTGCAGACACAGTGGTAATTTCCTGAGACTTCCCCCTTCTTTCTGATAAATTTGATGGAGGGTGGGCAGATACCACCTTATATATTGGCATTAATCTGCTAACAACTTATAGGAGCTTTGGGGCAAATACAGATTTGTTCAAACAATAGAGTTAGTGATTATCAAATAAATAACTTGGAAGCTTTTTAAATCAGGCCAATGTTTATCCATTTGTGGTGTTGGGATTTTGCCAGTGTCTTCAGGATGACAACATATGAATGTCTCCACTATGTCAGCATCTGGGAAGCCAAAAACTGGGCACAGTACTCCAGATACAATCTCCTAAGTGCCAGATACAAGCAATAATAATTCCCTTAGACCTGCTTGTTTTGCTTTCACTAACAAAGCACAGCATGTCACCAGTCGTCCTCATTGCTGTAAGGGTGTTTTGCTGAGTCACGTTCCATTTGCCCACGCCTTTCTTAGCTGCTAGAAAGCAGTCTACCCTAGGTGCAGGACTTCTACCTTTGTTGAACTTCATGAGGTTTCTGCCAGGCCATTTCTCCAGCCTGCTGAGGTCCCTCAGCATGGCAGCCCTGTCTTCCCATTCACCAGTCACTCCCCACAATGTGACATGTAAGCTTAAGGGCGCATTCCATCTCGTCATGTAGTTCACAAAAGTGTTATGCAGTACTAACCCCTTTATTGAATCCTGAGGAACATTGCTAGTATCTGGTCCAGCCACTCCAGTTAGACTTCAAGTTCCTGACCACAGCTTTCTGAGCCTAGTAGTCTGGCCAGCTTTCCATGAGTGCTGCAGGTCACCTATTCAAACTCTATCCCTCCAGTTTGGCTACATGGAGACCATGGCAGACTGTCAAAAGCTGAACTAAAGTGAAAGCAACATCCACTCCTTTCCCCTAATCAATGAAGGCAGTCAGCTCATTATAGAAGGCAACCAGGTTGGTCAGGCATGCTTTGTCCTTGGTAAATCCATGCTGGCTGTGACCAGTCACCTTCTTCACCTTTGCATACTTGGAAACGGCTTCCAGAGGATATTCCCAAAGTGCTAAGGTTAGACTCACCAGCCTGTATTTATTCCTCCTTCCTTTCTTGTAGATGGCATCAGAAATAGGCCGTAGTTGCTGCAGCCTTTCTAAAGTCATAGAAAGCAGTGTTACAATGACATGGGCTGCCTCCTCTGGAGCTTTGGTGCACCTCACCATGTCCCACTGACATGTCTATGCCCAGTTTGCATAACCGGGTCCTAACCTGATCTGCCTCTGCCATGAGTAGTATTTCATTCTCCCATACTCTGCCACTAGGCACAGGGACCAAACAGGTAGCGTTTACTTTTTACAAATCTTTTGTGACTGAGTTCCCTGCTCTGTTGAATAGCGGTCCCAGGAGGGAATAAAGTCTGGTCAGCCTAACTTCAGTTGTTTGAAAAGATCCTCTGGAAGCCATTTGCAAGCATATGAAGCGTAAGAAGGTGACTAGATTCATCAAGGACAAAGCATGCCCCAATGATCTGATTGCCTTCTATGATGAGATGACTGGCTTCACTGATGAGGGGAAAGGAGTGGATGTTGTTTGAGCCTTTTTTGTTGTTGTTGTTGTAGCCATGTATTTACAGAAGCCTTTCTTGTTGCAGGAGCCTTTTTCTTGTTGTCCTGCATATCCCTTGCTAGTTCCAAGTCCAGCTGAACTATAGTTTTCCTAACTGTATCCCTGCATTATTGGACAGTGACTGTTTCTCCCAGGCAGCCCACCCTCCTTCCACCTTCAGGATGCTTCCTTGAAGTCAGTTAAGAGTTTTTTGCTCCTCCGTGTGTTCTTTTGCCACTCTTGCTCAACTTCCTGTACATCAGGATGTGCCACACCTGTGCTTTATGTTCAGTTATCCTTAAGGTCAGACAGTTCTCCCAGAACCCTTTGCCCGTCAGGCCATCTCACATGGGATCCTGCCGACCAGATCACTGACCAAATTGAAGTCAGCTCTCTCCAATGTTGTAATTCTGGTAATTACCTTCCTCACTTACTCTTGATCTTTAAAATCCACCATTGAATAATCTTAGCAGCCAAGACCTGTCTGCACCTTCCCATACCTGACGGGTTCTTCCTTATGTGTGAGTAGCAGACCCATAGAACATTTTCCCCATTTGGGTCATTGATTGTGTACCAAAATACTGTCCTCAATACTCTCCAGAAATCTGGTCTGCTTGTGCCCTGCTTTGATGATTGATGTCAGGATGGTTACAGTCTCCTGTGCCCAGTGATTATGAAGTCTCTCTTAGCTGTCCAAAGACTTGGATTCTCTAATTCCTCCTCTTGATCAGGAGATTTATAGCAAATGCCCACCATAATAGCCCCTTTCTTAGCCTCCTGTCTGATTTTGACCAGTTAGCTCTGAATTGGCTTATAGCCTGCACCAGGGAAAAGTTCTGTGCATTTAAATGGCTTCTTTGCAAAGGTGCAAGCCCTCCTTGTCTTCAAGGCCTTCATGAAGAGTCTGCATCCATTGTAGCACAGTCTTGTCTGCTTGTGAGTCCTCCATGTCTCTGTGGATCTAATAAACTTGTTGTCACCATGCACAGACTTCTGATTCCTCATGTTTTTCCCATTCTGGGTGTTCATGCATGTGCTGTCAGTTGAGATGATCTGCAGTCATGCTGCTCTCTCAGGGAAGTGTGACAGCCTCCTCTGTCATGTTGTCCCTTCATCAAGGCCTGCCAGGCTTTCACTTCTCTTCAGACTTTGTTCTCCATCCCTTGACAAACCTAGTTTTAAACCCTTCTTCACAAGGTTAGCAAGCCTGTTGACTCTTATCTCACTTGGCTGCTATCTCTCCCCAGCTTAGACTGTTTTGCATGCAAAACATGAAATAACATGATGTATTGCAAAAACTTGTTTCACTGGAAATGGTGAAAGCCAAAGAAGCATCTGCTGTAGAGACTTGTTTCAATGATGAGATAGAGATTTAAAGCACAGTAGGTTCTTCATAGGTAGCTTCGTGTATGGTGCAGTGTTATTCTAGAACTAAGAGGGCTGGGGTGCAATAGGTGAAGAACCAGGTTTTCAGAGCTGAAGATGCATTAGAAGCTAGCTGTTCTGTGACTGGTACAAAAGACCAATTCAGCCCTTAGTGTCATTTCTGTCCTTGACTTAACCTAGTTATTGTATCCTAAATAGGGGTGAAGTCTGTTAGTGTGGCACAGGGGATTTGTGTTGTGTTCCTGGCTTTTAGCTCGCTACCACCACTGGGTGATTTTAGGCAAGATGTTCCACCTTCCTCCTCCAGTCTGTTTTTAAAGTCCTGAATCACAAACAGAAAGCGTATGCTTAATTGTACAGAAAACTGGAAGAGTCTAATCATCCATGCAGGGATTGTTTCCACACTTCAAAATAAATTGGAGCACTTGTATGTTTAAAATTAAGCAGGAGCAGAGATTTCACCGGAGGCATATTCTGACCATCATCCACTTGTCATAATGATCTCTCCCTTTTCAGAAGTTAATAGGCAGTTAATCCATATAGGACACAGTTGCCTAGCTAAGAAGAATAATAAACATTCACTTCACAAATGTGTAAATGTAAATGAAAGCCTACTTGTTTTATTGATCTTCAGTATGTATTTTTTTGGAAAGAGACTTGGTTTTCTAACAAAGATTCCTAAACGTTCTTTCTACTGCATATATTCTGTGAGTTCTGTTAGAGAACTTGCTGCTTTACTACTGCAACTATTTTTGATTGGTTTATGGTTCTTACAATATACAGACTGATGACTCACAGGTCTCTCCTCTTCTGCGGGTGAGAGGGAACGTAGCTACTAAATTCCAGTATGTGCCACAAGTGACTTTTCTCACTGGGTTTAACTGTGTGAGCTGATGGCAGGAGCCCACTCTCAAGTGCTGTTTGCCGTTCTTTTCTTGCTGGCTCCTACCAAATGGCAAGTCTTTTCTAATACCAAAAACTGGTTTCCCTTTTGCACTGCTGTCCTATGATCTGGTAGGTGGTGCACAGGGCAAAAGTATCTGTGATAGCAACCTGGTTCATGGTGCTTTGCTAAAGGTTACTAAAGGTATTCTGAAGCATGATAGATGATGCCAAGGTACAAAGTGCTGGTGACTCAGGAAGTTGTGTTAAGTTGTGAAACTCATAATGTTTTGAATTAAAGGCTTGGTATTAAGATGCTGGTTGTAAACTTTGGGGCCTCAGGCAGTAAAGCAAGACTTACAGCTTTTCTGTTAGCATTTTTCTTTTACTCTCTTCTCGCTATTTTAATTTTTCAGCAATTGAAGGGCTACATATTGGTGAACTCTCCCCTTTTTTCCACTCAACTATACATCAGCAGTAGAGACTGTAATTTGCAATTGGTCAGAAAGGCAAGATGTAAGCCACCTATTTGGCTCATGATTTTGTTTTGCTACTGTTATTCATTATCCAGCACTTCATTCTTTACGTACTTTGTGCTCAAGAACAGCTGTGTTCTCTCATGCATGTGAGGTGGGTTAAAGGCTTTACCTTCAACTCAAAAGACAGCTTCATAGTGAGGCAGGTGTGCCAGGGGCAGCTTGCATTTGTCAGGCACACTAATCAGATTTATTAGATCAGGAAGACTGAGAGCTTGTAAAATGGCAAAACTTACTAATAACTCAGGAGTACCTGTTGCATGAGTAAGATACATTTATTTGACCTCTTCCTCTCTTTTAGTGATATAAATAAGGCTAGTACATCTCTATTTCTAAAGGCACTCCTATTCACCTCCTACGCAGTGAACTCTGCTCCTCTCTGACAGTAGAGGGAGAAAGCAAACTTCATGAGTCATATGTGAATGACACTGACTACCCTTTTCAAGTATTAGGCACAACTGTAGGGCTGATAACAAGAAACTGTTGAAGCCAGACAAAAAGATGACTGATTGTTTTATCTGTTTTAAATTGAAGCCAACAATTTGATAGTATATATGTTTCTGTTTTTCATTTCTGTTTGTAGCATGCTTCTTTTAAATTACCTGGGCAAAACTGGCAGAGACACTCCTTTAATGGCAGCTGCAATTTTCTCTGCGGGTTGGAATGTTTTTGAATCTGTAGAATCTCTGGAGAAGCCACTAAACTGGCTTCTTTTCAACTATTACTTGACTACTTGTCTACAATCCTCTATCAGCAGGTGAGTTGCATTGTGAACTGTTTAGCAAGATGGAAGGATGTTAGCATGAGATCTACAGCAGGTATAATAATAGTGGCAAAACGAATGCTGTAACAGCACTTTCCGTAGCTGTGCTGTGTGCATTCTTCTGTAAGTTTGGAAATCTAAAGGATCTTTGCAGGAAGGACTAAATTTCTCTGTTCCTCAAGGAACTTGGCACGAGACCAGCAGACTTCTGTATTTATGGATGAAATGAATGGATTTTTAGACTATTTTAGGCATGCACATACTGACTTTGAGTAAATATGTATCTACACGAATTCTTTTAAGTTGGCATTGATTGCAAAAGCATGGAAAGGACTAGCTCATCCTTTGCTTTATAAAATTAGGATGTATTTTGTATTCCCAAATATTTAGTTCTCTCATCTTTGACATCTTTCTTGTGGCTTATGGAGACTTTTTACTATGTTGCTGGATGTGCCTGCATATGAATGAACAATTCTTCTGCTCTTGGATTCCAGAAAGATTTTAATATGATAAAAAATTAAAACCCAAGTGTGTTATCATTAGGGAATTGTTTTTATAAATATATCTGTAAAGCAGAGGAGTTTTAAATCGGTTTCTATAACGAAAAACAAGCTCTTCAATTTTTCTTTTTAGGCATCGACAAATGTTGGAGAAATTATTTGATATGGATCTCGTGATGAAGGTATGTGAAAATGTTACTTCTGCTTTAGCTGGATGCTGTTTTCCAAATGCTGACATAGTTCCCTATTTGAATTCTGTACTTCAGGCTAGAACTGTTAGAGAATTTGATAAGCAGTTCACTTCAGTCATGTTTGGCTACCGTACAATTGACGATTACTATGAAGATGCTAGCCCATGTCGCAAGCTGAAGTCAGTAGGAATTCCAGTGTTATGTCTAAACTCTGTGGATGATGTTTTCTCACCAGGTCATGGTAAGTTTAGGCTTTTTAAAATCTGTATTTCTGTATATGTGATCATTAAGACAAACTACATAGGTCTGAGAATGAGCCTGTGTGTAGAGGTGTGTTTAAATGTTACTTGTACATGGGGTTGAAAACCTCCAGAGATGGATCAGTCTTGCAATTTAATTACAGTGTAAGATACATGTAAAAGACACAGACATATATAAACCAGCTGATAATGGAGAGACCTGATTACTACAGAATGCAGAAACATATGGGGTGGCAATCATTAGCCATTAGTAGGCTCTTTACAGTCAAAAGAAATAACTATGCACATTTAGGGTGTGAGTTATCTCAATGTAAGAATGATACCAGACATACTGCGCTCTCTCAGAAGCACCCACTTCTATTTGCCAAGGACAGAAAGACCCTATGATGAGGAACTGTGCTTCAGATGTCTTGACTGCAGACATTCAGAGCTCAATTAAAGTGAAAAGTATTTTTTTAGCTGCCATTCTTCAGTCCAGTCCCTAAAAGGAATGTCTGGGAATTGCTGAGGTTTCATGTGACCTTAAATCCTCAGCTGCTGATCTCAGTGCCACCTCCAGTGCCTGAAAATTAAATGTAAGGAAATATGTAAGTTAGCATGTAAGCAAAAATCTAGGGTAAGGGAAGCAATATAGCCAAGGTGAGCTCCTAGAAGGATGCACACTGAAATTAGTAAGAATCTAACTAGAAGGTGAAACAGGAGTATCAACTAGTAACAGATAGGCTGAAAGCTGTTTTCTCCCTGTTTTCTGCTTTTGCTCTGAAGATCAAAACTCTGTTGCTTAAAAAGATATGTTTTTTCCTACGATCTGTTTATTAGTTATGGTATTTGAGTAACAATAGCTAATGTAGAGGAAAACCACTGTAATGAACAGCTGGTTGAGGGGACAGCCTTCAGCCGTGTACACCTGACACGTTTAAAGATAAAGTTTATACACTTGATTTATTTCATGGGAGTTTTCTTCTGCCGCCAAAAGTCAAGTGAGATTCTTGCAGGAGTCATAAAACCAGAGTGAGCAGGCAAACAGATTAGAACAACAAACAGAAAAATGAAGGGATTGGAAGAGACTGTATTTGTGTGTACTGTTTACCTGTGCAGAGATGTACAACACATGCACAGACATTATGGTTTGAAGACCTGTTAGAGACAAATGTGACATGAAGAACAAAGGGCCCACTGCAGTTTAGTGCAGTAGGAGTCTGATTTCTTCTCCTCTTGAATAAAAACTATCCACGTTATGCATGAACAGTACGAAGAGGCGACAGCCACCTAATATGAGGGGGAAAATGGTGACTCTGGATTAGCCAAAATACCTATTCTTTACGTTGGCTAAAACAAAGGCTTAAAATAAAATAAGATCTGGGCAAACATAGAAACATTCTTCCAGAATACTGCACCTACCTTTAACAATTTGCTGTTCAGGGACTTTCTGAGAGAGAATTAGTATCTTTGTATTTACTAGCCTCTGTGGCTGTTTGGTTGTTTCCTTGTAATTGGCCAGTTGCTGTTTCTGTTATGATCATGTAATGTGCTGGAAATGAGAATGGATGGGGTTGTGATTCTAAAATCTGTGTCCAGATATAAAATCTGGCTATGCGTCATGATAAAGGGATTGTTTCTACCCAGTAAGAAGGTATTCTCCCACACTAGAGATTCTCAAAATACACTTTTATGGCTGCTATGACCCTGGGGATGGCTTCGCCTGTAGTACTGCAAGGTGGGTCATCTGCTGTGTCATACTTCTGCAATTAAGTATCTTAGAGAGGGAACAATGGCTTCACCTCTGGGTTTAGCTCTAGCTCACTTAGTGGTTTCTGTTCTAAAGTAACTGTGGCAGGAGTAAGCTAGCTAGTTAGCAAAAGTAACAACAGCAGTGAACTAGGCAGTGTGCCTCTGACCCTGGAGGATTTGTTAACCTTCTCCAGAATATTATCACAGGGACTGGGACCTGTATTAGCTGGACTAAAGCTAATGCAGATACTCAATCCCCTTATCTCTTCATTTTAGAATATAACCTCCAGCTCTCAAGAGCCAATCATTGATTCACACCTGAACACAAGGAAACACTTATTTTTTTTTAACTGTGAGAGTTCAGACATGGGCAAAGAGAGGTTGTGGGGTCTCTGTCTCCATAGATGGATCAAAACCTGACTGGGTGGAGTCCTGGGCAACCTGCTATAGGTAACCCTGCTTCAGCAGGGGGGTTGGACTAGATGATCTCAAGAGGTCTCTTACAGCCTCAACAATTCTGTGATTGTGTAGATCAGCTAGCCACAAGTGCTCCCCTAGAGTACAGCTGTAGCAGATCTCCCTTGAAGCTGGTTTTTAAAAGAAGCACAGCTCTTGGTCAGCAGTGGATTATAGGGATGGTCTCTTGTGAAAGATTAAGTATCAAACCTGTTAGAATGCTTTAGAAGTTTTGCAGTATAGGGGGATTTGAGGTAGAGCACTAGCACTTCTGAAACAAGACGTGTTAAGAGTCTGTTGTAGTCACTGTCCATTCTCCCTTAAACTGTGACTCTAACCAGCCCTCCTCCATGGGAGTGTTTGGGTGAATAGGCATTCATTTATTCCTTGTTCACAGAGTGAATGCTTTTGGCTCTAAACCGTTGTCCTTGTGGTGGCAAGTTTACCTTCAAAAGGGCCACCGGGACAATATTGATTTACAGTTAATAGCATGACTCTTACGTGTATCTATCCTTGGCTCCTCTTTTGTTTGTGCTGTGCACCCTCAATGTGAAGCGTTGCACTGACAAGAGTCACAGGGCACCTTGGTTAGCAGCTTAGAAATGATGGCTGGTGCCATGAGTTATTGGAGTTTATTCATCTTGACACTTTTGCAGGCTGTTTTATGTTAGCACATGCAAGGGGCTGGTGTTAGTCTGGGAAGTGACTTTGTTCTGGTAACTGGCTTGTTTTTTCTGACTTGAAAGTGTGTGGACATATGTAAGCCTGTGGCAACCAGGGGCAGTTTTCACTCACAACTGTGTAATGGATTCAAAGCCACAACATTTCTTCTCCTCCAGGCTGCAGCCTTTATTGACTTTGGGGACTGGTTATTTCATGTCTCATCTGTCCCAGTAATACCTACCAGCTTTTAAGCTACCTTCCACCTCTGTTGTAGACAGCTGTAGCTTCCAACAGCTGTGAAACAGGTCTAGAAAACTCACTAGGGAGAAAACTGCCAGGATTCCTTTGTGTTTAAATATACTTCATCAAGCCAGCCATATCTATCTTTCTGTAACAGAGTTACAACCCCAAGTCTGTTTTGACACTATACAATATGGACCTATAGAGAGACTTCCCTTAAAAAGTGCAGATGCTGTCTCTGTTGCCTTTTGCTACCTGATCATTTCTCCTCATGTGACTTTCTGGTACAGTTTGTACTTCCCAGTAATTACTGTTTAATATATTGTGAAAATGTGCCCTTTGATCTCAATCCAGTATTAGGAAGAAACAATTCATCTGCAGTCCTTCCTTAATGTTGCTGTTTCAAGTTCACAGAGCTTGGCAGCAGATGCATCTGTAGCAGGTTAATTCTGGGTTGCAGTCCCTGTACTGCATAATACTAACTAATGAAAACAAATGCTTTCTTCATTGCATGGCACTTCTCTCGCCTAACTAATTTAAATGAGCCATCGCTTCAGGAAAGATGTAATATAACCTTTTACTTTGTGTACAAAAGAAATCAAGAAGATGGAATGACAGGATTCATTATCAGCCTCACATTTAACTTTTCATCTGAAGTGGCATTTTTTTCCTCAAAGACTTTAAGCAGTGTATTAGGCATCCAAGTTAAATTGTGCTATACTAATGCTTAGCTAATTGCCACTGGTGAGTGTTGTGCCCAGGCTAAAAGCCTGGCCTAGAAGCCAGGTAACATGTTGGCTCCCTTCTGATCCACTGTGCCAAGTAAGTGCATTTCTGAAGCTCAGCTTTGATAGTTTTTATTGAACTCTTTAAACCTTTTCTGTCCCTCTGAATCCAGACTTAGAGTAATTGCTCTTAGGTGTTATTTTGCATCCTATTTGTAAACAGCACAGTTAAGTTGGCTGGAGAGGCTGAATGGCCAGGCTGAGAACAATTAGGGTGAGAGTTTAAGGAACAGGGAGAAATCAATCAAACAATGAAACAGAAGGCCTGAAGGCAGTGACTTATTTAAGCTGATGCTGCTTTACATGTATGTTTTTCTGTTCCTTTTTTAAAAAATGCTTTCTGCGAAGAATGTACAACAGATTGTTTTTTGAACAAGGTGGATGCCCCATCCCTGGCAGTGTTCAAGGCCAGGTTGGATGGGGTTTTGAGCAACCTGGTCTAGTGGAAGGTGTCCCTACCCATGGCAGCAGGGCTGGAACTAGGTGGTCTTTAAACCATTCTATGATTCTGTAATTCCATGACATAATTTTGCATATACATACTTACATTGTGATTCTGTGATCACAAATAACAAGGCGGTGCCTGCTGGATCAAACTGCAGTATACATTTTGGTCAATAGACATGTGTACAAAATTACATGATAAAAATGAGCAGTAGTATCTTTTGGCATGCCATCCTATATTCTAGGGTGCATTGCATCCACTGCTCTATTTCATAGAATCACAGAATCGTAGAACAGTTAGGGCTGGAAAGGACCTTAAGATCATCAAGTTCCAACTCCCCTGCCATGGGCGGGGACATCTCACACTAAACCATGTCACCCAAGGCTCTGTCCAACCTGGTCTCGAACACCGCCAGGGATGGAGCATTCACAACCTCCCTGGGCAACCCATTCCAGTGCCTCACCACCCTAACAGTACAGAATTTCTTCCTTATATCCAATCTAAACTTCCCCTGTTTAAATTTTAACCAGTTACCCCTTGTCCTGTCACTACAGTCCCTAATGAAGAGTCCCTCCCCAGCATCCCTATAGGCCCCCTTCAGATACTGGAAGGCTGCTATGAGGTCTCCATGCAGCCTTCTCTTCTCCAGACTGAACAGCCCCAAGTTTCTCAGCCTATCTTCATACTGGAGGTGCTCCAGTCCCCTGATCGTCCTCGTGGCCCTTCCTGGACTTGTTCCAACAGTTCCATGTCCTTTTTATGCTGAGGACACCAGAACTGCACACAATGCTCCAGGTGAGGTCTCACAAGAGCAGAGGAGAGGGGCAGGATCACCTCCTTGGACCTGCTGGTCACGCTCCTTTTGATGCAGCCCAGGATACGGTTGGCTTTCTGGGCTGCAAGCACACACTGAAGCCGGCTCATGTTCATTTTCTCATCAACCAACACCCCCTTCTCCACACGGCTGCTCTGAATCTCTTCTCTGCCCAACCTGTAGCTGTGCCTGGGATTGCTCCGACCCAGGTGTAGAACCTTGCACTTGGCATGGTTAAACTTCATGAGGTTGGCATCAGCCCACCTTACAAGCATGTCAAGTTCCCTCTGGATGGCATTTTACATTGCAGAATTTGCTCTCTTGCATTGTAGGTTTATTTGTGGATGGTTAGCAGCCCCTAGAACAGCCTTTAGAAAAGTACTGCACGACTACCAAGCATCATTTGCATTTTAGCACTGGAGAGCAGCACAACACACTCAGTTCTCTCCTGAGAAGCTGCAGAGCAAGAAACACTGCTGGGGATGAATCATACAACTGTATCAAGACAGGCTGTGCAAGGGCAGGCTCTCCTGTTCATCACGGGAGGTGAGAGCAGAGAGGTGACAGCAGGTCAAACTTGGCACCTATGAAAAATCCTCACTGCGGATGGCAGCAGATGACTGCATATTCAGCACAGTGCTGCAGCTTGTGTGATGAGAGCAATGATCCGTGGCAGAATTCTGCTGTAAATGCATGTTAATTACAACAGGGAGAACTTCAGGACAGGGAAGATGATGTTCATACAGACCTGTGCGTGGCTTACACCTTACCTGCACAGAAATAACCAGCATCCTAGTGCTGGTGGGCTTCTAGGAGAGAGCTGCTGTAGCTGTTTAGAGACAGGCAGCACACTGCACCCACTGCAGTATTGCCCATCGGTTTGGGAATGAATAATTTACCACCAGCAAACTGATTTGGGAGGTATCCTTATGCTGGGAATCTCTGAATGCAGAGGTCACAGTGAGCACTGCCTGTAAGGGCTTCCCCAGCTGGGCTGGCACAGCAGAGGAGACATTTATGGTCATCTCCTTTCCATACCCCCAGGAAAGCACTTTCTTACAGTAAAGGATACGTCTCTCTACGCTTTGATACTAGCCTCACAAAGGTGAATGAACATCATGTTTTTGCACAATCTCAGGTAGTGAAGAGGTATGTTTGGGCCAGTATGCAGCTGATCCAAAATCCATTAGAATTGATGGAGTTGTCATGTTATCTCTGATTCTTGGAGAACAAGTCTGTCTCTCCTCACACATTCTTCCTCATTCCCTTGCATATAGGCCTATTCATTAGTCCCCTCGGTGACCAGGGAGACAGATGTGAGTCACTGTCTGAAGCAGGAATGGGGGACTCAGGCTTGAGTCTGATCCCCACTTCCCTATCAGGGTTCTGTTTAACATGGCCCACATGCTACTAAAGGGAAGAGGAGCAGACGGCTTGGTAGAGATAAGTAGGCAAATTCCCATGCAGCCAGCAGAAGCTGACATGAATCGTAGTCACTGTCTTTGTACATGGCCGTGTACATCTACAGCATCCAAGGGAGCCAGAGCAGAGATTGCTGGGCAGACTAACTCGGGCAAAACTCCAGACAAGCATTTGCTGAGTTTGGAGTCTGAAAATGATGCATCTGTTATATTGCAAGAAATAACATGTTGTTTTTTGCATCTCTTGTTTTCACCCTGTTCTGTTCCCCAGTCCAGGCTGACAGGCTGTAAGCATTTATTTCATTGACTTTTCTTTTTAGTCTTGCCTCAGTATTGCTTTAAAAGGCCTGGATAATGCACATACCATTTTCAGTTTTCCCACTAACAAAGGAAAAGTCAAGGACTTCTTGTAGAGACAGTGAGAAGCACAGTTTCTTCAACCTGGTAAAGAATCAGAATCACTTACTAAATGCTGGAACCTATAAATTGCTTACACACATGCAACTGTGAGAGAAATAGTGGAAGAAATTAGTATCACCAAGTAGCAAAGAAGTACACACCCTCTGCCCGACAATCCCCCTTGCTCTCTGGAGCTCAGTCTGTGCTCTGTTCAGGGCACAGTCAAGTACCTTATGGGCAGAAAACCTTGTAACACATTATCAAAAGACACTTAAGGTGCTGCGGATGCATTGGTTTAGCATCCGTGCTGAGGCCCTGGGGCGGAAAAGAATGCATTGTTCCAGGCACTGTGATGACTTCTGAGGTGCAGACTGCTCCCCTGACCCTGATCTATTTTAAGTTGCACATCTGTTCACTACAGTCATTGCATTCAAGATCCCCTGTGACTTAACTCTGGCTGGGGGTCCATCTTTGGTAAGGAATGGGTGCCATGCTCTTACGCTAGTGGCTGAAAACAAAGGCAGATGGGCATCTGAAGCACACACCAACAGCTCTGCCAGAATCTGAATCAAAGTAAGGAACTTGCCTATAAGGAAAGTAGTGATGTACAGGGATGACGGATATTTGAAACAGCAAATGTATAAAGGGGTGAAGAAAAGCAGAATCCAAGAAACAGGAGCGTGGGGGGGATGCATCTGAGGGAAGTTCAGTCAGAAAGGGATGTGGACAACTGACACCTCTTACCTCCCCCCGCGCCCCCCTCCCCCCCCCCCCCCAAAAAATCTGATTAAAAATTGCTCTTCAAAATATACTTTAAAATAACTGAGGCAGCAGTAGCAATCCTGGGAATAACTCACTGCTTTGTGTTGTAGTGCCAAGGCATTATTACTTCAGCAGGGTATGACCTAAAATCAGATTTGTTCTCTTGGGGAATCATAACCTTTTTTACACAACCCAGTGAAATTCCTGCTACTCCCTTCTGTCTGGACAAAGCACCTTTTGCTGTTGTTTTTTCTCTCAATCCTGAATAATCAAAAAATCTGTATGACTTTTATTTTTTTCCCTTCCATGTAGTTACTATTTGAAAACTGGAACTTTGAAAGGGATTCTTTACTGAAACATACAGAGATTTCTGCTTGTTCAGGTGTATATTTTGCATACTTAAAACTCCAGAGGAATTTGCTTAAATAGTTTTTACATCAAGAATGCAAATGCCACAGCCCAATAAAGCTGCACTGTTGTGCCAGCCAGTTAATGGGATAATAGGGTCATCCCATCACACTGAAATGCCATTTGTATTTCAAACATGATAAAGAAATAAGAAAATACATGCCATAATATTTTATTATGTATGTCATATTAAATATTATGTATAATTATAAATTATTGTAATGAAATATTATGGCATTCTAATAGTATATTCCCCTTTTATTATTCTGACATATAAAAGTCATATCCTTTCCCTGTCATCAGTCTCCCCTTCCTGACCTTTATTTTCTGTCACAAAGGGAATTGCCCAGAAGATGGCATTGAATCAGCTGAAAACTAACCCAGCAAGAGAAAAATCCTTGTAGGTTCTGGTCTAATAATCCAAACCCTAATTTAAATAATTTTCTAGCTGTCACTATTCAGTAGAGAACCAGTAACCTTTCTGTGCAGTTCTCTGTGCAGTTGTTTGCCCTTCCTCTGTTTCTGCTTACTTTGCATATTAGATTATGAACTACTGAGGGCAAGAACTGCCTTCCCACTGTGTTTGCATAGTGTGGCCTAAAACATACAGATATAAAAGTCTTGTGAATCATACAGAATGATAACCCAGGATATCTTTAATATCATCTGATACGATATCTTACAGACAAAACTCTTAATGACATTAAAAGGTTTATGTTTGCAGTCTCCTACAAAAAGAATGGGATTCACTATTAGGCTTCCAGTTTCTCAGTTTTTCCAAAGCTGAATGTTGAAACACAGGTTGAACGCTACAGGCTTCATTGTCCTTTCACTTACACTATTTATACCAAATCATGAATGTGCATTAACATGAGTGCTGTTCTATCAGTGAGGCTGAAAGAAAGTTCAAGCTGGAACTGTTACAGCAGCCATAAAAATCATACAGAGAAGGTGAGTTAATGGCAAAGGCTTTTAATGCAGATACGGTTCTATGTCCTGCAGTTCATTTAAGCATATGTTAATGTGCATATTTAGTCACATATATTACAAGAAATGTTTAAGAGAAATTATTCAGTGGCTGGCACTTCTTAGAAGGATAAGGACTTAAAACATTCTTTCTCCCCTCTTTTAGCTATACCAGTAGAAACTGCCAAACAAAACGCAAACATTGCTTTGGTTCTGACTTCGTGTGGAGGCCATATTGGTTTCCTGGAAGGAATATGGCCAAGGAAGTGCACTTACATGGACAGAGTCTTCAAGCAGTTTGTGCAAGCTATGTTCGAGCATGGAAATAAAATCTTTAGCATGTAGATTTGGACCACTATTCTAGCTCAGTGTCACATTCTGACAAGGGCAGTTAAGCTTAATGCACAAATTTTAACTCCTGTAAGCCAGCAAATGGATAAAGTCCATTACTACATGCAAAACTATTTTTGCCTAAGATTTTGTAGCAAGAGACTAAATATTATGTTGTCACTTTTATATTTATTTTTAATATGCCTTACTAAGAATGATCTTAAATGAAACAGCATTCCACATGCATCAAGTTGCACTTAACCGAAACCATCAAGTAGGCAGATTATAATTCCTATGGATTTTAATTTAAACCAGTACATATTTAGGAGACTTAATTTAGATGGCTTTTAATATTGGAATGGCAACACTCAAAATAGCATATATTATCCTGTCATGCATAGCACAAGTTGGCCTGTTCCTTAGGGCACTAATGGTGAAAATCTTAAAATAGGAAAACAAAAGAAGGAGGGAAAACAAAGCAGCACTGATTCTTCAAATAAGTAAAAATTTCAGCATGTTATTCCATAGGATTAGACTGATAACCTGCTTTTGCTCTTCTGCCCAGAAAGTATTCAGAGTTAGGGCTAGCTATTGTTTTTTAAACTGTGTCAATGTCATACTTGTCTTACATGATTATTTTTAAACAGCTAATTTATAGTGTTTACATATAACCAAAAGATTCCTTTCAAACAGTACTGTAATAACTTCTGTAACTAAAGACATCTTCTTGCATTTCTAAGTTCAGGTAAAGCTTGTGTTGTCATATATGTAATACATACCTCATAACTGGTAAGCTGTGATTCCATCTGTTATGTTTATATTACCCTGCAATAACATTTCAGTTTTAAAGAAGAAACATTAGAAAAAAATCAAGAAATTATGAGATAATCCACTTAAAAAAAAAAAAAAAAAAGGAAAGAAAGAAAAAAGAGAGCTATCCAAACCCTTTGTCTCTCCTGCAACCTCTAAGAATGTAACAGACTGCTTAAAGAAAGCTAAAGCTGGGATGGGGGTCAGAGCCCCATCTTTATGGTTTGTTCATCTGATAATTTGTCAGCACTTCACCAATAGGCTGTGAAATCATTGAAGCCTCTGCAAAGTGATTTCTGCCCTAGAGGCTTATGAGTTTGTGAGGCTGACCGGGGTGTCACTGAGCTCCTCAGCCTTGAAATAGAGTGAGAGCCAGCATGGACCTTGGAGCACAAGGGACAGTTGGACAGAATGTATTCTGAAGTGGATGGGAAGTCCAAATTTAGGGCATACTGAAATCACAAAAAAGGCTTTTAAGCAGCTTCTATGGAGCTCCCACTTCATGCCGATCACTGATCTGGCCCCAGCCACACAAGATAAGTCAGTAAAGATGCCTTTGCATTTTTATTTTTATCTTTTGAGTGGGGTCAGTATGAGAAGAAAATGCGGATATAAAAAGTGAGTCGGATCTTTTGTCTCAAGCAGTACGTGAACAGCCCTTTTTTTGCCAGGCATGTCTCCTAGTAACAGCCAGGGAAGAACAAAAATACTTTTTGCCTTTAGAAAAAGAAATTGGGACATGCTACATGAAAGCTGGTTTTGTAAGGTGGGAGGTTACATTAAAAAAATCAGAAAGTGCTTTCAAGTTTTGACTTTTCAGACAGGCATCAGCCCTTGCTCAAAGTCTAATTTCTTTTTTCTCTAATAAGGAAAATGAGACAAGAGACTTGTAAAAGCAAAATGGCATTTTGTGCATGTTACTGCAGTACATGAAACAGCATATTAGTAGGGTGCCTTATTTATTCCTACATTCATTTCCAGTTTTTATGTTCATACAGAAACAATGAGCAATAAACAATGTGTTGAGCATTATATTTGTTAAATGTTTGAGTACAATACTGTTCAAAACTCAGCATCATGTATTAATAAAAATAAAACCACTTACGCACATCTTGCTGTTCAAATAAAATTAACATCATTGATGGCAGAAATTCTCTTTGCACTCTCTTATTTCATTTAGGTCTAATCCCACCCACAAATCCCCATAAGACATTTCTCTTTAAAGCAACATCTAGCAAACATCTGTAAAGTTGGGGTGTTTTTTTTGCACAAATGTGGGGTGTTTTTTATAACACTCCATTAGGGAAAACACATTGTTCAAAGCACAGTGTGCAAAGTAACAAGCAAATTTTACTATGGATATGCTCAAACTTTCCCTGTCAGATTTTCTGGAACATATAATTCAGACACTTGCTTCAGTTCTTGTGGGGGGGACATACGCTAGCAAGAAGTGCCATAAACGTTTTTGCTGTGTGGTATCTTTATACCTTCTACACAGAGTTGCACCAGTAAGCCACAATCCAGAATGTGCCCTCTGTTTAAAAAACAGTGTGAATTCACAGGGTCTTGATTTGGCTTTTCTTGGGATCTGGGTACCCAGCCAGCAACAGGGATATGAAATGTTTCGTGTGGGAGAAAATTGTTCGTTAGCGATATACTCATTGGAAAAGAGTGGAAAGATGGAGTGTAATGAAAATGAAACTCACACAGGTTGCAGACACCTCCTAAAGAAAACCCTCTTCCCAGTGCAGAATCAGTAGTTAAATTTGGAGGGGGCCTCTAGAGCATCCCCCTGCTCTACAGAGGACATATGACATATACACTTCAGAACATCCACCTCTTCTCAATTTGCTCTTGGAGTCAATGCAAGGTACCGTTCTTTTTATCTGTGAAGCCTTCAGTCACCCAAGAGCCACCTGTGACCTTAGCTGTCTTAGTACTGGATCATAAAGATCTTAACCAGTAATTTATAATGTGACTCTTGGCAAATAGACTTTAGAAAAACTGAAAATTTCAAATAGAAAAATCTGGTTCTATGAATGCAGAGAAACTAACCCATGGTATACATTTCACATTGAACAGAAGAAGGATTAATGCTCTTTTTAGAAACCAAGACATACAACAGTACAGTTTACCAGACTTAGCAGAATGGGTTGTGGAGGACAGTCTACAATTCTTCAGGAGCTGGTGTCAAGGCAATTTCACTTTATAGGTGATGATGACTCCAGGCAGGTTGACATTGTCCTGTCAATATGGCACAGAGTATCATGCTTCAGACATCACTGTGCTCACTGTTGCAGAGTGCCATCACTCCGAGGCCTAGACTGACCATTACAAAGATCAGAAAAGGGCCCTGTTTTCAAGAATTACTCCCCAGTAATTTAGGTTTAGGAAGCTGCTCCTTACCTCCTTCCTCCCTGCTGCAAGCTGCCATTTCCAACTGAGATCTAGTAGTCAACTGCTTCAGCCCTTCAAGTCAACAGAATGGAGCAGCTTGCTTATCTCAGCAGTTCCCAAATGTTTCAGACAACAGCTCCCTTCCGTTTTACTGTGATTGCTTGGACCCCTATGCACCACTCGCATACATAGATACCCACTGTCTGGCCTGGCCCCAAATCTCTGCAAATCAGCTGCCAGCCTTCCCTCTAGCTGTAGTGATCTGCAGTGCTTTCTATCCCTACTCCTCTCACACCCCCGAAAAAAAATTCACATTCAAACACACAAGCAAACTGGACAAACTGGACAAACCCAGCCCAGGTTTTTCCTGCCTCCCTGGAAAAACACCAAACCAAAACAAAAACTAACCCCCTTCCCTTCCCTGCTTTCTTAGCTAGATCCCTTATAAAACTCTTTAGCTCCGGTCACAGCACCCTCCAATCCCCGCTGTCCCATGTGTCACCTATGCAGGAATTTCTGCCTCTTTCTGCCTCTTTCACTTGCAGCTCCTATAGCTGCCTGGCTCTCGCCAGTGACTCAGACCTGCAGGAAGAGAGAGGACTTTTAGCCCTGATGTGGTGTCATGAGCAAGCACACTATGCTCTCCCCACGCCATTTCAGCTCAACACACTATCATCCTGCAAAAAAAATAAGAGGAAATATTTGGTCATCGAGTCACTGAGCTGCTGTCATGCACGGCTACCCTTGAGCCTGAGCCATGTGCTGTGGTTCTCATCCCAAGATGCCAGCTGGTGAAAAAGAGCCTTGGAATGCCCAAGGTAATGAAGGAGGGTACAAAAAAGCCCAAAAGAATCTCTGTAGGGACTTGCCACAAACCTTCAGCACACATGCTGGATCCCCTCCCTGCAACAGGCTAGCGGTGCTTCTTAGCAGCCAGCAAAGTAACTCCTGCACCAATCTGCTGTAGAATATCCTAGCCATGCATGTGGGGTTTTACATTTTCATTCTAACATTAGAAAAGGTACTATCTGCCAAACGCACCAGCAGCCACAACAGCCAGTAGTTCTTCATTGGCAAACATCTCTTCCTCTGAGGGATCCAATGTTCCTGTCTCTTTCTGAAAGTCTACTGGAGGCACAAAAATCAGCCGCTCCCTTCTTCCTGGATGAGGGTGGAGGGACCTTCTGAACCTGCTAAATGTATGGAAGTCAGGACCTGTGCTGTCTCAGCTCTTTCTTCAGTTCTTTAAAGGATCTATGTACTGTGATTATAAACCGACTAGTTTAAATCAGCTCCATATGTGGCCTTAGCTAACCCATCTAAGGCATTCTTCCAGTGCCCTAGGAGCGCCTGTAGGGTTAATGACAGCTGAAAGGTTTAAGCAGCTACCGCCTCTTGGTTGTCAGCCACCACTTCTTTGCTCAGAGGAGATGCCTGATATGCAGTAGAGCAGGCTGGGAGTGTATTAGCACATCAAATGGGGCTGTGCTTGCATGACTGCTGTGATTGAGCTTGGGATCAAGAGCTCAAGCCTCTAACTATGTAGCCTGCCCTAAGGCTGCAGTTTCACAAGCAGTGGTCAATGTTAACAGCTCCCTCATGCCAAAAGGGGAAGGCTTCCGCCTCCCCTGCCTTTTCTTATCCTCCCTGATTCCAGCCTTCTGCCTTGTCTGGCAGACTATGATCCACTCTTTCCACTGGGTTAACTTTTTGCTAGCTCAGTAAATTAAATTTGCTTGCCTATGGGAGTCCCTTGAGTGCTAGATGGAGGGTGGCATGAGGTAAGCACAATGCTGAGAGTGGGGAACGAGGAGACAATAGTGGGAACGGCTTTCCCTTTTTGGTGACAGTCAGCTGTTACACAGTTCACTGCATCTCCCTGGGCCTTAGGCTAACAGGGCACTGTCTGCGATTACTGGGATGATCCTTATGTCAGCTGAGTTATTGATCCTGTGAAAAAAAGGCATAGCCTAGAAGCAAGTCGCTTTTCATTTTGCTCCAGGCAAGAGGCAATCCAGCATATTACAGCAAAAGTAAGCAAGGCTAAAACCCTTTTGGGGTCAAATCTGTCCTATCCAAATTCTCCACCTATGCGAGTGGAGTTCCTCCTCCCACTCTTCCCAGCTCCTCTGGTTCTACAGCAAATCCATGCCCGATCCTGTTCATATTCACCACAGCATCTCAGGAGAGTAAATTTTGGTTAAGTTTGCGTTCTACCAGTGACATTTGGTAGCAAGTTCACACCGATATCAGTGCTTCAAAACGCTGCCACCTTCTGTGGAAAACTGGAAACCTACTCACATTCTTCTACCTCATGATTTTTTCCCAAGTTTTGGATTGTACTGCTTTCTAAGAATGCTTGCTTCTTTACTACTTCCCTGCTGTACAGCAAATTAATATTCCATGGAAGGATGGGAGAAAAATCCAGTTTTACCCCCTTCATGTTCCTAAGAAAGTGGAATGGGAAAACATCATGTCATATTTACAAAGTTAGTGATAACATAAAGAAATACTTTTATCATTCTCCAAGAAATTTACAAGCA